ACAAACACTGAGAGATCCTTGTAGAAACATTAGACAAACCATGACAAACACTGAGAGATCCTTGTAGAAACATTAGACAAACCATGACAAACACTCGGAGATCCTTGTAGAAAGAAGAAATGTTATTAAAGGTGTAGTCATATGGGTAAGCAAATTGCACAACTTGTCTTGCGACATTGTTGCATTGCAAGTCGCAGAGCAAATGTATCTCATTTTACCACTCCTCACGGAACAAGTTTTTATGGTTGTGTTAAGTAGAAACTCTCTCTATTCTTAACAACAATTAAAATTTGTTACATACTCGCTGATTTGTTTATTCGCTCCAGTCTATCTGCGCATTTTAGCCCTGCTATAGTTGGTGGCCACTGAATCCTTCTATAACAAATGGTAGCAATATTCTTTCCCAGATCGTTTTGTGGTATTCCGACAACTAGAATATAAAATATTATTAATTTTCCTATTTGGCTCATGACTCATTGACTCATGCGGCCCATTCAACCGTCTTTCTCAGAAGCAATATTTGCTTGCCAACTTGCATTGCAACAATGTTGCACAATTTTGTTGCAAATATTACTGCACCTTAACAAATTAATACTGGTAGTGCTTTTAATAACAATGTTTTTAACAGGTCATATGGCATAAATGCAGAAATGATCTCATTGAAAGAAGCACAGGAAAAGTGGCCATTTATGAGAGTCGATGATTTAAAGGTTAGGGTGCTTTCAATTGAGTCAAACTGATTGGTCGGATTGGCCATTCTCAATTGGTACACGTCAGTTCTTAAAGCTGGTTCGGCTGCATTGGTCCAGTTCTAAGAAATGATGCATACCATCTGAGAAATGGCTACTTGGACTGATCGGTTCCGGCTTAATGGAAAGCACTCTTATTGTAATGAAAAACTGGAAACCTTAAGGGTTTTCACTTAATGATTCACTTGTAAAAGATAACTTTTGTTCAGGTGGACAAAATGTGAGTGACCACCAACGACATCCTTATGAAAGTCTGTTGTGACTAACACAGCATAAAAAGGTAGAGGTCCTTGTTCATGACGGTGTTTTATTAAAGATCAAATCAGAATACGCTTGCACACATTATGATGTAGTTAACAATGATCAATAATTAATATGTCAGTACACAGGCAGCCCATGTTAGTGATATTCACGACAAAGTAAATTCCCAAGTCATTTTGATGATACACTCATAAATAATGATCTTGGGTTCAAAGCATCATCAGTAGGAACTTTGTTGCACTCATCTCTGCAGAAAGGAATGTTTACATGCATCTGTGTTGTAAACAAAATATCAGAATTGTAACAAGTCATTCATTCAAAAACAGGGCATATTGTGGATGCCAGATGAAGGAGTTATCAGCCCAACTGACGTGTGCACTATGTTAGCTAGAGGAGCCACCAATCAAGGTACTGCTGCATATTACTATTAGGCAATTGTAGATTTATCAGTACCCCGACACAAGTTGAGGCTTGGGTTAGAACAGTTTTGGCATGACTTTGAAAATCTCATGGAACCAAATGCATTTGTGACATGGCAAGGCATATGCCAGATAACTTAATCTTCATCCAATCAAATACTTGAACACGGCATGGACACAGTGCAAACATGACCATGCCAAGCTCGTGGCAGTGCCTCTGAGACCAATAACGTCATATAAGAAAAAAATTAGGCAATTAGAATTCTAGAAAATATCACCATCACAGCAAGGCATGCATACGGCACTGAGCTTTTCAATATCTTATGAAAACTGCTATATCGTTGTTAAAGTTATCGGAATGCATAAGTTGCAACATAGAATGCATGATATGCTTATTGAGTTCAGCAATTGTAGCCATGACCCCAGAGGTGAGAAATAAGTGCACTAGTCCTTTAATTGATGTGAAATTGGTTTTTGCTGCTGTCAATAAAAGCTAATTAGCCAGTACCTTTGCGGCAGTAACTGGCGGCAGTGAAAACCAAGTTCCAACATGCAACTTGCAACCACTGAGTTTGCATAATATTGAGAATCATAGAAAGGTTTGCAAAAATTCTCCATAATCTAAATAAGAATTTTCGAAACTTTTTTGGAAACAAAGGTGTGCGTGTGCTCGAAAAAGTCCAAGTTCAGGAGGTTCTCACCGATGGTACTAATGTACGAGGATTGCTAACCAATAAGGGGATAATAGATTGTGAAATATTTGTAAACAGCTGTGGTATGGTAAGTTTGTCTATTTTAAAACTTTTGCATTCAGCAATTTTTTCTTTATGAAATATTGGCAGTTTTTAAATTTTTTTAAATGTCAAAACATTCTGTAAATTTATTTAGACTAAAGTTTAACTAACCTCCAGGCCTTGCCGCTACGCGTCGTGCTTCTCCTAACACTTCTCTCATGTTCTGCCAACCCACGCGTGCTTTATGACAGCACACAGCACGCGCGCGTTTCTATTTCTTCAGTATTCCAGCATCCTACTGGTTGATCTTTGATATGCATATTCATCTACTGTAGTTGGATTACCAGATCTAACAACGGTATAATGTTTGGACATAAATATCATTATGCTGTAAGCGTAATGTTATGTTTTTTTTCTATTTTCTATTGCAGTGGGCCAGAGAATTAGGTTTGGTAAGTATGTTGTTGAAAAAATTGAAAATTGAACAATAAATTGCTCTCTGCAAATCTTTTGAAATAATGAATGTTAATTCTAACATCACCTTAGTAATGATAACCATTGCCAATCATCGCTATAGGGATTGTAATCCTAGTAGGCATGACCATGGATGACAATGCCATTGATATAAAGAATTATAAAATAATTCAGATAGTACGTGCGCTGCGATTGGCCGAGAGCAGTGTTTGCATTTCCCTGTGCAAACACGGTTGTGACAAGCTTCGACACTGGCAGGAAAAGTTGAGTTTTGTTTGGAAGTTGTACTTGTACACAAATAGTCATAACTCCAGTAAAAGTAAAAGAATATCGCCAGTAAAATTAAAAGAATATCGCCTGCAGCTTGTGTTTGCACTGATCTGCTCTCGAATTCTCCCAACCACATCTCGGTTTGCATTAGCCTGTGCTAACATGGTAATTTTTTTTTTTGGGAGTTGATTCTTTCATGTGTAAATATTTTTTAAGGAATGGATCATAAGTAGCGTGCGTCCATCGAGTTATGGATGCACGCGGGAGGTTGCTACGCACGAAGAAAAGCGTAAGAGTTGCACGACGCGAAGCGGAGTGCAACTCTAGCTTTTTTGAGTGCTTAAGCAACCTCCCAAGTTGCTAAAATCGAGCGTGCTAAAAATGTTGAGGGTGTTAGACTCAATATTATTCATTACTTGAAACAGCGACGAGTCCTTCCCCATATCCGCCATTACTCAAGCATGTGCTCATGGCTGATTCTACGCATGCGCATAGACTTTGATTTGACGCAAAAAATAAAATAGCCCGAGTAACAGGTTTGGCCAGTATATATAGAATATATGCATTCATATACTGCATACTGTACATTGTTTTCTTAACAGATTATCGTACCAATCAAGGTACATTCGGTAAACCCCATTGGTTTAAAAACGTGGAGGAAGAGTGCAAAGCATGTCGGGATACTGTTGCTGTGGTAGACTTGACCTGCTTTGGCTTGTTCGAATTAGAGGTAAAACTATGCATTTTAGTTTCCTAATGCAGGGAACTCGTATCTTTTCAGATTAAAAGTCCATTTGAAAAGACATGGTCTGATTTTGTTGAATATGTCACGATGGTTGTAGACCTCTTGCATGTGACGTCAAAGCAGCTTAATTTAGAGGACAAGACAAAAGAATTGGAAACCTAGGGCTATGTCGTCCAAGGGGTTTATGGCCAGGAAAAAATTATAATGATAATGATTTATGAATTTATATAGCGCCTTTTCTATATGAATATAATCAAAGGCGCTTTACATTGAGAAGTGAATAACAGATTGGTTTTATGCAATTTACAAACATGAGAGATGGTTAGTATGAATTGTGTTATTTTAAGATCCTGAGTGTTGGTCCGGCCGGGACTCGAAACACGCGACCTCCCGCACGAAAGTCCGATGCTCAACCAACTGAGCCAACCGGTTACATCGAGTTTATCCTTGTATAAAATTGCCAGAATTATTGCAAGGAAGATTGAACACCACATTTAATATTGTTTTTCTTTCAGTCGCAAAATACATCTGAAAGTCTCGAGCTTCTACAGTCGTTGTGTGTCAATGATATAGACATACCTATTGGACATGCTATACACACGTCCATGTTGAATGAGATTGGAGGGTACGAGGTACAATGTACTGTCATCAGAAGAGCTAAAAACAGGTACAAAGGCATCAACACAAAAATTTTACTTAGATTAGTTGATAGGCCATTTGCAGCAATTGATCACGTGTCAATTTGCCCCATAGCAACAAGCCCGTGGTGGGCAAGCTAACCACGCATTCCTTGACAACAATAAGACTTTGAGTGGCGAAGCTTAGCGATACTAAGACTATACTGACTGTTTTTAACCTTTGTTCTGTCTGGTTTGACCCGATATTCC